CCCCCCCCCCCCCCCCCCCGTCCCCTCCCGGCCGCGGTGCAATATTGCTTTTGTGTCTCATTTATTGACTTTTCTGTGTTTGGATTTTGTCATTGTGCTTAAACATCCTTTTCTTTCTCTGTTTGTACCTCTTTCCCATTCATATCATGTGCTCTCTTTCCTCCTTTACTTTAATTCTAAGAAAGTTTGGTTCTTGTTTTTTAACTTGTTTCCCTCCAGATCATGTAGGAATTCGTTTCAGTAATTTTTTTGGTATTATTATTATTATTATTATTATTAATATTAATAAATTAATTCAGAATGCCTTCCTGCCCCTGGCCGTGCTGCTTGACCCCTGCTCCCTCCCCCCCCTCTCGACTCTTCCCCAGGCCTGGCCTCTGGGGGAGCCCCCCTTTTGGGGACTGACTGGGCGGAGGCCCCTTGGGTGCCCCCCCACCCCCCGAATCTCTTTGGGAGGGTCTTTTTAAAGGGACGCGCAGGATCCCTCGGAGAGCTGAGCCCCCCCTCCCCTCCCTTGGGGAGCCCCTGGCCGCCTCCTCCGGGCCCGATCAGAGGCTCTTCGTTTGGCCTCCTGTTTACATTACCTGGGAGGTGACAGCAGCGCCCCCCCCCTCGCCCCCCCAGCCCTATTCCAACAGGCCGGGCGGGGCTGTTTCGCAGTATCCCATTTTTGTTTGTTTTCAGTTTTGGTTTTTTTTAATTGTTGCTTTGTATTGTATAATCAGTACTTACAGTATATGTTGAATGTATAACATTGCTATTATTTCTGTTTTGGGGAAACGTCCAGAGTATTTCTCTCATTTATGTTGGACTAAAACAAGAGCCCCTACACACACACACACACACACACACACACACACACACACACACACACAGGCTCCCCAGGTTTTTCAGTCAATTCTTAGTTCCGTTTTGGGTGGGTGGTCGTTTGCAACTAGTTGTTCAAATAAACCCTCGATTCTGATTGGCTCTCAGTTCTGGTCTGGCTCCTCTCTTGCGGCTGTTGGAGAAGCTGCTTCCCAGCCCAGCGCCCCCCACCCCCCCTTTCCTTGGGAGGGGTGTTCGGGGCATCCATGACATCCATGCTGCAATGCTGCAGGTGACGCTCCGCCCCTTTGGCTTTGGCCACGCCCTGCGGGGGCTCCTTTGCCCAAGAGCCCCCCCCCACGAGCCTCTTGCAGGGAGAAACAGGCCATAAGGGGGGGTCTCCCCCAAGGTGGCTTCTGTGGCTCTTGGGGTCTGGGCCAGTGCCAGGGCCCCGACCGGCCTCTCTGCGTTAGATGAAAGTCTGGTCCCCTTGGAGCCGGCAGGGTTTGGCGGCTGACCCGACCGGCCAAGCTCTTCCTTGCCAGCTCAGCGCAAGAAGCCTCCGTCCGAGCTCGGGGCAGTGGCCGGCCAGGGAGCCCTCGAGCGGGGAGGAGGAGCCCGGCCTCTGCCCCTCTTTGCACGGAGGGCCCCTCTTTCTCCTGTCACGGAACTGGCAGCCGTTGCCAGCTCCAAAGCTTTGGCCTGAGCTGCGTCCAGGGCCTCTGGGACCCTGCCAGGCCTGCTGGCCTCCTCGCTGGGCACCTGGGCAGCTCCTCCCCCGTAGGGCCCCCTTTCCAGGGGAGACGCTCCAAAGGGGGCCTCTGGGTGCCCAGCCTGCCGCTTGCTCGGGGCAGCCGCTCCCAGGGGCACAAAGGAGCGGCTCGGCCCCATTTCGCCCAGTGGAGCAGTCGGAGGAGTCTGGATCCAGAACCTGGAGCAGCCACTCTTCACCTCCCTCCGCCTTTGCTGGTGGCAGAAGTGGGGGGGGGCATCCCTCCTCCACCCTCGCCCCCCCCACCTGCCTATGGGCTGGGAGAAGCGCAGGGGAGCCGGCCCTGTGTGACCCCCGTGGCTTCTCCGGAAATCTGGCTTTGGGAGCCCTTGGGTGCAGAGCCCCCACCCCCGCCCCCAGGGGGCTTGGTCCCGCTACGTGAGTTGAAGACAGGAGCGGCCCCCCCCTCCATCCCGGGTGTGGAAGGGCAGCCGTGGTGCGGACGGCCTCCTTCAGGCTGGGCTGGGCTTGCCCAGGGTGCTTGGCGTCCTCACGCCCTTCGTGCTGAGCAGGGCTCAGGGCTGCATTTGGCACCTCCAGGAGTAGCTTCAACGGGAGGCGGGAGCCAACGGGAGTGCTGGCCTTTGCTGGGTTCTCGTGCAGCCCAACTGAGCGGATCCTGCCCGAGGTGTTAGGCCTGGTTAGGAAGGGAAACCATCTCATGCCCACAAAAGGGTTTGCACAGGCCCCGGGTGAGCCCTTTCGGGGGGTGGGGTGTCTCTGCCAACCCCCCCCCCCTTTTCATCCAGAACTTTTGGAGTGGGTGTTCTCTGCCGGGGGTGTGTGTGCTGATTTGCCAGTCCGCCTCTCTGACTCTCGTGCGCCATTCCTCTCTGCTCCCTGCACTTGGGAGTCTGCCCAGGCAGGCCGCTGCTCCGCTGCTTGGGGCGGAAGGGCCCACCGAGGGCCTGGCCTTGGTAGCGGGAGGAAACCTGGCTCAGCCTCCTGGTCTGGCCCCAAATTTGGGGTGAACCCGGCCTCCCATCAGCTTGCCTGGAGAGTGAAAGCATCCCACGGCCGGAGGGCCCTGCCGGCCGCTAAGCCTCAGCCAAGAGCCCCAGGCCCTCCGCCTCTTTCCTGCAGCTGCTCCTGGCCGAGGAGGGCCCGCTTGGGGTCCGTCGGCCAGCTCGGTGTGCAACTTGGCCCCAAGCCCGGCCCAGCTCTTGGCCGGATCCCAGCGTGATCCCTTGTCCTTGGTTCTCCCGCCTGGGGATGTGTTTGATCCTTGAACTCTTAAGCGCCACATAGTCATCGCTCAGGAGTGAATTCCCTGTTTATAGCCACGGCTTATCTCCAGCAATAAACAACCCGGCCGGTATAAAAAGCCTCCTCCGACCGCCTGCAGCAAAGACCACGGAAGACACCCAAGCGGCTGGTAAGATGCGGGCACCTGCCGGGCTTGGCTTGGTCCGGCTGCTTTCTCTGCTGACCCCTCTGCCCAATCCCTCGGCCGGCACGGGGCTGGCAGGGAAGAAGGGCCAGGGGACACTTGCTCGGGGCCCACTGCTCGGGGGACACTGTTGGGCTGAGGTGGCGCCTGGGCATTAAAAGCCACCCTGTGCCCCTCCAACTCAGCCCAATTTCCTTCCGGCCACTGCCCGTGCCGGGAGGTGGCCCTGGGGGTCTGGGCACAGCGGGGGGAGGGGCTTCTCTTTCCCAACGCCTTTTCTCGCTCCCAGGGCAGAAGGTAGTTCAGGATGCAGAGCCTCAGTCTTGCCCTGGCCGTCCTGCTCCTTACAGGTGAGTGTCTGGGCCAAGGACCCCTCAGTTGGGCCAGGCTGGGGATGAGGGCCGTTGCTTCTGCGGGGGGCGCCAGGGCTGCCTCTGGGTAGCTCCGCCTGGGCTGAGCCAGCTCCCCCTTGCCCTGCAGGAGCCCAGGCCCGCTACTTCTGGCAGCATGACGACCCCCAGCAGACCCGCCTGGAACGCCTGCAGGAAGCGAGCCAGGTGTACCTGGAGTCGGCCAAGGAGGCCGTCCAGCAAGCCATTGCCCAGTTTGACCAGTCCGCCGTGGCCCAGGAGCTGCAGTGAGTAGTGCCTTGCGCATGGGGGTGGGGTGGGTGGGGGGACGGAGATGGAAGGCAGGGGAGCGGAGGGGGGGAAGAGTCCCTGGCCCCTCACTGTCCTCCTCCTGGGTCCCCGCTGACAGGCGAGGGCCGGGCGGGTGGGCCCCGGAGAGGATGCCCCCAGGTCTCGTTTTGGAAGATTAAAAAGGATAGGAAACTCCAAGGGAGAAGCCCCGAGTGACAAAGCCAAAAGGCTCTGAGGAGGGAAGAGAAAGCACAGCCTCCGAGGGGACCCCAGTCTGAGGGAGGAGCACCAGCCTCTTTGGGCTCTGGGCTCAGGATGCCCCCCACCCTGATTGGCAGGCAGGGCAAGGGGGCAGAGTGTCCACCACTCCGTTGTTGGAGGCCCTGCCAGGGGGCCCAGGGCTGCCCATACCCCGGGCAAAGCACAGCCTTAAAACAGCCAGGCCAAGGTGAAGCTGGTCTCTGAGCCCCCCTCCCCCCTGTGGGAGGTGGGGGGAGGCCTTTGGGGTAGTTTCACACCTCCTCCCCCCAGCATCTTTGGGTGGTTACGGCAACCCGGGAGAGGCTGGTGGCGTCTCCTGGGCGCCTCTTAAATGCGGCTTCAGTGTTTGTGCTACTGCGAGAGATCACACACAAGGAGCAGCGAGTTTGTTGCAATGCTTGGGCTGAGCAAGGGATTAATACTCCAAACCAGTTGATTTTCAGAGGTGGTTTGTATATGCTTTGAATTCGATTCACCTTCCAAATACAGTGTATAAACGGAAACGTAGGTTAACTAAACAGGATGGCCGGCTTTCCAGATTCTTTCAGAGATGCTGTGCGTGAACAGCAGCCAACCAATAATTCATCTTTCTGTGCAAAATCAGTGGCTCGCTGTATTTTTAAAGGATATGACATGAGAAATGCACCTCTCATGATTTAAAACTGAAACAAAATCACCAGGCAATATATTTTCAGCTCTACTTCCCTTGAAAGAAGCAATGGGTGTTAATTTCCTAGCAATCACAGTCACACATTGAGGGGCCTTTTCTCTTATACTCTCTATTCATTTGAGCTCTTTCGCTGAAACAGTGTGATTTTTTTTTTAAAAAACCAAATGAAAATAGTTTTTGAAAAACCTTTGATGTTCTTGCTAGGAGTTGTTGGTTTTATTCTGTTGTAGCCTGGGGAGAATCTAGACAGTGGGACGGGAAAAAACATTAGATAGGTGACCTCGTTCGTGGACCACCACAAAGCATGAGCCAGCGATGTGCTGCAGCTGCCAAAAAGGCCAGTGCAGTTCTGGGCTGCTTCAACAGAGGGACAGCATCAAGATTACAAGGAGTGATTTTGTCCAGCTTTATACCACACCCCATAAGACCATAGTAGGAACAGTGCATCCAGTTCTGGCCATCGTGACACAGAAAAGATGCCGAGGCCTTCGGGTGCGGAGAAGAGCAAGGAAGAAGATGCCATAAAAGGGTCCGGAGACTAAATTGTATGAACAGTTGAGGGAGCTGCGCATGTCTAACTTACAGGACAGGAGGATTTGGGGTGGGTGGGGCGGGGCATGATAACTGTCTTCCAGGACTTGAAATTGGGGTTGGACTAGAAGACCTCTAAGGCCCCTTCCGTTCGTAGGATTCTGTGTTTTATTGGTTATAACGTCGTTTTCTTCAGCCAGATCAACTTCCCGCCCTGTCGTCCAACAAAATATGTGTTTCGATTCCCCCCCGCCCCTTGTTTTCCCAAACGCTCTGGGCCTTGTGGGGGCAGCTTCTCTGTCCTCTGCAGCCTCTGACTCGGCTGTTGCTCTCTTGCAGAGTGAACATAGGGCAGAAGCTGGAAGCCTTAGCCATTGTGGTGCGAGAGATCAAGGAGCAGGTGACCCCTGAGCTGCAAGAGCTGAGAACCGAACTGCAGACAGCCTGGCAGACGCTGAAGGAAGAACTGACCAAGGACGTGCACGAGGTCGGAGCCCAGATCCAGCCCTTGGTGAGGAAGCTCCGGGAGAATGTGCAGCAGGATGCGTCCGCCTACTTCCAGCAGCTGAGAACCATCTCCCAGGACATCAACCAGGTGGCCCAGGAGAAGCTGAGGCCGATAGCCGAGGACTTCCGGGACAAGGTGCGAAGCCATGTGGACGAGTTCCGCAAGGACGCCGCTCCTTACGCCAAGAAGCTGGAGCAGCTGATCCAGGAGAAGGCCAAGACGCTGGAGCAGAGCGCCGTGACCGAGCTCACCAACTTGCAGACTGAGCTGCAGGAGCAAGTGACCGAAGTGCGGGAGAAATTAGGGCCCATCTGGGAAACGGCCCGGGAGGAGCTGCTCAACTTGCTGCAGAGCGCCAAATCCTTGTTTGTGACCGCCGGAGGTGCGGAGCAGCAGCAGCAGCAGCAGAGCTAGAGGCCCTGCATGGGTCTGTCCCCCCCCAAAAGTCCCAGTGACCCATCCTAGCGGCTGAGGAGGCTGGCGATTCCTTTCCCAGACAGCGGGAGGCCAGAACCCTCCCGCACCCTGTCTGGCTCCAAGTCTTGTGTCCCTTCCCCAGACTCTTTTCTCTTCTTCTTCTTCTTCTTCTTCTTCTTTTGTGCCCAATAAAAAAACAGAAACAAAAACGGTGCTTTGCAAATGATCTCTGTGTCCACTTGCATGATGGGGGCCCCGGGGCAGACCTGGGCGGCGAGAGACTCGGGGTTCAGCTCACCCAAAGCTCCTCCGTGCCTGGTTGGCAGCTTCCTCCCCACATTTAGTCCCAAAGGAGCATGGGGGGCGGGGTGACCCTCAGGCTTGGGACACAGGGTGGCTCCCCCCTCCCGGAAGACGGCCTTCCCCCATAGGTCAGCCCACGCGTGGCGTTATGGCGCCAAAGTCGGGAGCAAACGGTTGCTTTGGAATGCAGCCGCTTTGGGGTTGGTAGGACCCAGGAAAGGTTTTCGGGCCAGAGCCAAAGTGCCTGAAGGCAGCCCTGCTTCTCCCTGGGCCCCACGCCAGGTTGGGGGTGGGGGGCCCTGGGCAGAGCCTTCCCTGCTTCCCCCTCCACAAGATGGGCAGCCCCACCGGGCCAGGGCTCAGCAGGGGCAGGTTTCGGGACACACCTCGGCTCTTGTGCCTATAGTCTGCAGACAAGGAGGAACCGTGGAAGCCCCGCCCCTCACGCCCCTCCGAAATCGGTGCAGGGCTCCTGCTGGTGGAGGAATCCCCGTCCATTCGGTGTGCCGAAAGAAAGAACGAGAGCCAAGCGTGCAACGTTCCACTAGTTTTAATGAGGAAAATTCCACACGGGAGCGAGAGAAAGAGAAAGAAGCCAGGAGGGGGGGGGGGGGGGACAGAAGAGCGGGCGGGAGGTGTGGGGTGTCCCCAGCGGAGCAGGAGTAGGGAGAGCTGCCCCCGGGCTCCTGGGTGTGGAATGGGGCTCCGGGCTCACGCTGGATTTCTCTCCAGCAGGTTTGACACGCGAGTCTTTACTTGTTCAAAAGCATCCCGGGCGCGTTCAATGCCAGCCTCTGCCAGTTCCCTGGAGAGAGTTACGATGGGGTGAGAAGGGGAGGAAAGCGAGTCCAGGGAACAGGACCCCCCGCCCCCCGCGAGAGGCCCCCTTGGGCTGGATTCAGGGGCCAGAAGCAGAATTTACACGGTCAGCCAGCCGATTGTCCTTGCTGGCCAAAGCAAGGCTTTGTACCGAACGAGCGCCCGGTCAGCCTTGACCAACTGGGGGGCCGCCTGGAGGTGCGGGGAGAGGCGCCCGGGTTCTCCAGAAGCCGCGCAGGCAACGCGATCCAGCTCTGCCCTGCGGGGAGTTCACGCCCAGCCCCTCTGGAAGAGCCGTCGCTCACAGGAGGAGCAGCCCCCGAGGGCCGTGCAGCGCCTCCGTTCTCCTGCTCACCCCCCAAATGCCAGAGACCCCCCCAGACCCACCTCACTTGCTGGTAAACGGGCGATTCTTGGATAGCGGCGATGCGCTCTTGCGCCTTCTGGACGAGGCCCTGGAAACGGGTCCTCAGCGTCTCCTGGCCTTCCTCCGCGCCTGGGGACCAAGGGGCGGGAGCCTGAGGATCTCTCCAGGGAGGGGCAAGGCAAGAGCCCGGCAAGAGCAAGGCGCCTCCCCCGCTCCCGGAGCACCCGGGCCCCCCACTGCCGGGGCCCCAGCTCGGCTCCCTTGCCGGGGCCCCCTCTTACGTGCAACGGTGGCCAGCAGCGCCAGCAGCGCCAGCAGCAGCAGGAGCGGGACTCTCATCTTCCCTCGGGGGTCCTGTGCCGGGAAAAGGGGCCGTCACTGGCCTGGAAGGGGCTGCTCTTACTGGGGGCGGCTCTTGGGCCCTGGGCTCCTCTCGGGCGGGGATCTTTCCAGAGGCCGGGCAAGAAGGGGAAGGGAGCCAGGCGGGGCCAGGACTGGTCAGCGAGGGGTACAGCTGGCGGGAGGGCGCCGGGCTTGGGGCCCTTCAGGGCTTAGCCAGGCGGGGGTCCCAGCGCCCGCCCGCCCGCCCCCCCAGTCGGAAAGCTTTACGCGGAGAGCTCCTCGCCCACCTTTTCTCCAGGAGCTGAAAGCGACGCTTGTCCTTCAACCCGAAACAGCGGCCCTGCGAGGTAGGCTGAGAGCGAGAGGGAGCGAGACGGGCTCAGACCCCGCGAGGGAGACGCGACTGCCGTTCCCCCGGCCCGCCGCCTGCCCGCCCGCCCCGCGGGACCCGCCCGCGAAGTGCGGAGAGCGACCCGCCGCTTGCCCGCCCCTCCTCACCTTCTGGCCGGGCTTTCCCGAGGAGCTGTCCGGACTGGCGAAGGGGAGGCTGCAGCTCCCCTTTTATACTCTCCCCCCCCCCCCCCCCCCCCCCCCCCGGTGGGCTGCGCGGCCAAAGTTCCGCTGGGGGGGGGGTTGGGAGGGGCCGGGCCAGGCCAGTGGGGGCTTCCATTCCTCCGGCCCCCATTTGCTGTGTTTGCCCTGCAGTTGCCTCTGCTGGGGTTGGGAAATTCACCCGCCGGGCCCGCCCTCGGCCTGAACCACTGGTCTGGCAGAGCCCCGGGTTGGGCATTGGGGGCCAGGAGGGGGCCTCGTCCGGTGCCACCTTTTCTTCTTTGCTGGACGGGGCATCTTGGAGCCCAACATGGTAGGCCAGCTGGCCTGGCCAGGGAAATGGGACACCAGTGATGGCCGCTGTGAAAGAAGTAGGGGCCCCCTTCCCATGCCCGCCTCAGTGGGGCCGGGGCCCTGTTTCCTGTGGCTCCCAGGGCTCCCTCTGATTTTCTGGGGGTCTCCTTCCCAAGCGATGCCATGGGTGTGCCTGGGTGGGGGAGGGGAGTGTGGGGCATCTCACAACCTGGAGACCACCCTCTCTTCTGCCTTCTCCTGATTTGGGGCTTCACAGCCAGTTGCCAGTCTGTGAAGAGGGTCCCAGGGCTTGTTTGGAGTCTCTTGGGAAGCACTGTGTGTGTGTGTGTGTGTGTGTAGGGGGGGGGCTCAATAAACCTGCCCCTCCAGTCCTTGCTGGGACCAGGCTGGAGTGTTTCTGGGCCAGCTCTTCTTTTGGGGAGACTTTGGAAAACAGGGTACACAAACAAGGGATCCAAACCCACCCGGCTAGCATACTTCTCTGGGGAGACTGTCGTCTCAGGGGGACGTGGGGGGCTTGGCCCAGATTGGGGTGGGGCTATCAGGGCCAAGTCAGGGCCTCTGCCTGGGGTGGCTTCCCCAAACAAGCCAGAGGGCCCAACTCCTTTCTCTTCCTGCAGCCACAGGACTTTCCTGGCCAGGGCAGCCCCGGCTCCTGGCTGGAGACCTTCCTTTCCACAGGCTCTTTGGGGCTCCCACCCAACCCAACACCCTCCGGCAACCTGTGGCCTCTCAGCACCAACAGGTTTATCTTTGAACCCTGCAGGTTGTTGTTGGCCACTGCCCCTTCCTCCTGCACAACAGCCCTGCCTCGCCTTGGACTGTGACCGCCAGATCACACATCCAGGCCAGCCAGGGGTCAGTTAAACAAACCATTTCTACACCCCAGGACGAGCCTCCAAGTCCACACGGCGTGCACCTCTCTGCTGCCTGTTTCAGTCCATGCTCAGAGGCAAGAGCGGAGGGGCACCTTCCGTCTCTAGACCTGAACTCTGTCCCATTCCAAGAAGCACCCACTCGAGACCGCCCCCCCCCAAACCAGGTCTGCTTGTCCAACAAGTGCAGACAATTCCCTTGGACCCAGGAGGCCGAGGCTTTGGCCAGGACCTTCCCCAGGATAACACGTGGCCAAGGGAAGTGAGGCTGAGAGGTGGAAGGTCCAAGGAATGGGTGGGGGAGGCTCCCTGCTTTTGGGAACTGTGGTTGGCCTCGGGGTGGTGGTAGGCCTGGCACGGGGAGCCTGGGTGGAAGCTGGCAACGCCAGAGGGGAGCCAGTGGGAGGAGAGAAAGGAAGCCCAGGGAGGGTCTTGGAAGGGCAGCCTTGGGGAGCCGGCGTGGCCTCTTCTGCCTTCACCCCAAGCTGGACCTGGAGAGCCAATTCTTCCCCGTGTTCCATCAGCAGCCCCATTTGGCTGGCAGGGTTGCAGAGCGAAGCTTTCCACCTACTGAAAATGGACTGGATCAGGGCCCCCAAGGGGTAAACTAGCCGGGCCTCCACCTAACCATTTGCCCAAGTGCTTGAACGGCTCTGGCGTTGGTTGCAGAGGCACCATGAAGGACACCGTCTCTGCAGGAGGCCTCCACCTGCTTCGCGTCTCCAGGGGGGCTGTCATCAGATTGTGTAGTGTGAGCCAGAAGGGTCTTTTGCCAGAGAGAGACGGTGCAGAGGAAGAAGGGTTGTTGGTCTGCAGATGATGCAATACTTTGCCATAATAGCTGGGGAGAGAGAAGGGGGGGGGGGGTAAAAGGAAGAACTGCTGCCCAAAACACCTGCCAGAGGTTGGGCTAAGCTTTGCACCCCCTTTGGCTCTGGTCAGATTCCAGCCGTGTCACCCTAGAGCTCCGAGCAGCTTCCCAGGGCAGCCCAGAGTGTGCCCAGCCCTGATTTTCGGGCTCTTCACACCCGAGAAAAGCTCACTTTGGAAGATGGCGCCTGCCTGTTCTGACCCACCAACTACGTCATGGGCCACCGGGGCCAAGGGGAAGGGGCCAGGGCCGGTTGGATGAGAGTTCTGTGTTGTGTAAACAGTCATAGGATGAAACTGAAGGGCACCAAATCTGAAAAAGGGAAGCAACGCAACTGGCGCAAGATCTCACTTCGTGTTTGTGTGCGGGATCCCAACAGATGCCAAGCCGTCCGATGCCCCGGACGCCGAGCCTGCCAGGGTTCCTTCGGCCACTCTGGGCAGAGGCTGCTTCCTCGGGAGGCCCCCCTCTGGCAGGGCGGGGACCTGGGAATTCCTCCACCGCCTCTGGGCTCCCCCCCACCTGTCACCTGCTGGCCAGGGCCCCCAATGGACCTGTGGTTCTCTGCATTCTGCTCTTCCCTCTCCCGTGGCAGGTGATAGGGCAAAGGGGTGGGCGGCCACTGGTTCGGCCATGGGGAGTGTGCTTTGGCATGTTGTAGTCTTGGAAGCCTTGAGTGCAGGCAGGAGGACATTCTGGGGGGACTTTTGAGCTCCACGCAGGGTCTAAGCAAAGCCAGCCTAGCAGACCTTGGCCAGGGGCGCTGGGCCCCTCAGCTGCAGCCTGGCTGGGTGTCTGTCTGATGTGTCTCTCCAGAGGGACTGCAGGGGGCTCGGGACAGCCCCACAACCCCTGTGGCTAGGCCCCTTGGCTCATGGGGGGCGGGGGGCGGAGGAGTGTGTGAAAATGGCTCAGATCGTCTGTTCCCATTGAAGACTCCTGGCCTGCCCCTCCCCCTCCCCCCATGCAAAAGGGGTTCAGGAGAGAATCCAGCTGAACCTCCTCCTCTACGAGGCGGCTCCCATTCCGGACCACTTCATTTAACGTTATTGTATCATTACATTTATGATCAGCAGCCGCCAAAAAAGCTAATGCAATCAAGAGCCAGTGAGGTACTAATACCACTCTGCAAAGCCTTAGTAAGGCCACACCTAGAGTACGGCATCCAGTTTTGCTCACCACATTATAAAAAAGATGTTGAGGCTCTAGAAAAAGTACAGAGAAGAGCAACCAGGGTGATTAGGGGACTGGAGGCTAAAACATACGACCAACGGTTGCAGGACCTGGGCTTGGCTAGTCTAGTGAAGAGAAGGACCAGGGGAGACATGATAGCGGTCTTCCAATATTTGAGGGACTGCCCCAGAGAGGAGGAGGGGGGTCAAGCTATTCTCCAAGGCACCTGAAGGCCAGACAAGGAACAATGGATGGAAACCGATCAAGGAGAGATTTAAACCTGGAAATAAGGAGGAATTTTCTGACAGTGAGAACAACCAACCTGTGGAATAGAAGTTGCCTTTGGAAGTTGTGGGAGCTTCATCCCTGGAGGCTTTCAAGAAGAGACTGGACTACCGGAAATGGTTTAGGGTCTCCTGCTTGGGGGGGGGGATTGGACTAGGTGACCTACAAGATCCCTTCCAACTCTGTTCATCTGTTATCTGTTGATCACTACAAGAATCTCGCTCTTTCCCCTCCTGCTCTCCCAACCTTAGACCTGGCCAGGTTGCGCCGTCTTCTCCCTGCTGGCAGAGGCTGGGGCACCGGGCAAGAATTCTGCTGTGGAGCTGCAGATAACCGGCAACCTTGTGGCCATGCAGGCCTCCACGTCACATTCCTGCTAAAGTCCAAGAGCTCAAGGAGGTGTCACCGGCCCGCGTGGATGCAAGATGACACCGTCCCCAGGAATATAAGTACAGACTGGCTGCCCGGCAGAGCTGCAGAAGCCTCCCTGGAGAAGGTGAGCCCTGGCTGCAAATGGGGACCTGCTCTCCGGCCCCTCCGGAGGCCCAGGGGGCCAGGCAAGCTGCATGCTTGGGCTTCTGGGTGGGGGTGCTTTTCTCGGGCAAGAGGTGGGCTGGGCTCGGCTGGCGTTGCCTCTGTCCCTCTCTCCTCACTGCAGCTGGAGAGGCCCCCTGGCATTGGCTCTGCCCCCCCCCCTTGGGGAACTGGCTCCCGGCTCCCCTCACCTCAACCTGGGGGAGCCCAAAACCCTCGCTGAGGCGATGGCTGCAGGGCTACAGCCAACCCCGAGCACCGTCCTGGGGTAAAGGGCTGCCATGAGGAGGGGTCACCACTGCCTCTCCTCCACAGGTCTGTTCCTGACAAGACTTTGGCCGCCACTTCCTGCCAGCTGCCATGTCTCCGAAAGCAGCCGCTTTCCTCCTTGGACTCTTGGTTGCCACCACAGGTAGCGGGATTTCCTTACCTCGATTGCAATCAGCCTTAGTTCCTCCGCCCTTCCTCGGGCTTCCTCTGGCCCGGGTGGTTCTGCTCTCCGGCTGCCTCCAGAAGGCAGAGTCGTGTCAAAGGGATCCAGAGATGTTGCCTGGCTGAGATCTGCAGGCGGAGATGGGGAGGCTTCGGAGAGGGTGGGAAGGAGTGTGGCTTGGGTGGGGGCACCGGAGGCCCTAAACTGCCAGCAGCAGCAGCAGCAGCAGCAGCAGCTCCCTTGGATGGAGGGGGCTGGAAAGGGTGCCTGGTCCCTTGAAGAGGCCCGGGTGACCCAGCGAGGTGGCCCTCAGGACTGACCCCTCTCTCCTCATCCCTGCAGGGGCCCAAGACAGCCCCTCGCCCCAACAGCTGACTGACTTGGTCTGGCAGTACTTCACCCAGCTGAGCAGCAATGCCGAGGCGGCCCTGAGGCAGGCCCAGCAGTCGGACATCGGCAAGCAGTTCACGTGAGTTGCCCCTCTAGCCGAGGCTTAAAACCCCTTCAAAGCAGGCAGCAGCTCCGCCTGCCGTGAGATGGGGGAGGCCCACCTGTGCAGGTGCAGCTCCCCTAGGAGAGAATCAGGCGAAGAGGGGCAAGGCCTGATTTCCCTCCCCCTTTTCTCCCAGGGTCCTGATCCAGGACCACTTCCCGGCCATCAACCCCTACACCGAGGAAATACAGAAAAAACTGATCCCGTACATCGCCCAGCTGCACACCCAGATAAGCGAGGAGGGGGAAAAGATAAAGGAGAAACTCAGGGTGGAGCTGGAGCAGCTGCAGATGGACATCGCTCCCTTCGCGGCGGATGTCCAGAACCAGGTGGCCACGACGGCCGAGAACCTGAAAACCCAGCTGGTGCCCTACGTCGAGCAGCTGCAAGCCACGACAGACACCCTGGCCACCCAAACTGCCCAGAAGCTGGCCTCCTTAGTGCAGGAGCTGCAGGCCCAGGTGAAGGAGAACGTGGGCGACCCAGCCGCCCTCTCCCCCTACCTCCAGAGGCTCCAGCAGACCGTCAACCAGCAGGTGGAGGACATCAAAGTGCAGCTGGGCCCTTTCCCGGCCGAGCTGAAGGCCAAGGTGGACCAGGCGGTGGGGGAGCTGCACAAGCACCTGTCCCTCTACGCCCAGACCACGCCGGAGCAGCTGAGGCGGCAGCTGGAAGAGCTTTCCTTCCAGGTGGAAAAGAGCGCCGAGGCCTTCCGGGAGAAGCTCCAGGGAGAAGCCGAGCAGCTGCGGGGGCGGCTGGAGACCCTTCTGCAGGGAGACCTGGCGTCCCACCTGGACAGCCTGAAGGGGGACATTGGGCAGCAGATTGAGGAGTTCCGTCAGCAAGTGGGCTCCTACGGGGACAGCTTCAACCACCTGGTGGTGGAAAGGGTGCAGAAGCTGGGCCAGAGGCTGCAGCCCCACGCCAGCGGGGTGGAGGACCACCTGAGCTTCTTGGAGAAGGAAGTCAAGGAGAAGATTGTGGCCTTCGCGGACAGCCTCCAGCAGACCGAGGAACGCCTCCTTCCCACCCTGGAGGAAGAATGAACACGGGGAGCCCAGCAGCTCTTCCAGGGGACCCCGAGGCTTTGTTGCTTGAAATAAAAGAACCGCTCAGCCACCCTCCAGGCTCTGTCTCTTGTGGGGGAGGGGAGGTTTGGGGGGGCCCCTGCAGGAGGGACAAGAGGGAGGGGGTTCGGGGGAAGGGGCTCTCCACCAGGTTTTATTGATCCTTCAGCTGCACAGGGCTGCCCGTCCCACGCAAAAAGGACTGGGTGGCACACCATAAAACATCATCTGCAAATACCAGCAGAGGTTTAAAAGCATTTTAAAGAGAAAGCAGCGGCTGAGAGAAACAGCAGACCTAAATAACCACAGCCTGACAGCATAGTAAGCCTTGCGGCAGCAGCCCAGTCTGGGAATGACCAGGCCGCAAGTGACTGTGGGGCAGAGACCTCACCCAGGAAGGTGCGCCAAGGCCCTGCGGGCACCCCAGGTCATGCATGCAGCACCCGCCTGGCACCAAGGATGGCAGTGGCCTTGAACCAGCAGGCCTGCCCAAGGGAGGGAGGGGGCTTCCTTCCCACCGCCCGGCCCTTTCTCAGCAGGTGGCCCCTTCCCTGGAGCCCCTGGCCACTCCTCGCCAGCTTCCCACCATGGCCTCTAGGGCCACGTGAAGGACTAGGGCTGCTGTATAGAGATAGATAGATAGAATTCTTAGAATCATAAGGTACATCACTTCATGATAGTCATGGGGTACAATAAGCAATCAGATCCTACTAGGAAACAGTCAATATAAATCATAAGGATACAAGTGCCAAAGTTACAGTCATACAGTCACAAGTGGGAGGGGATGGGTAACAAGGAGTGATGAGAAGATTAACAGTAATAGTAGTGCAGACTTTGTAATAGTTGAACAGGGTTGAGTGAATTATTTGTTTGGCAGAGGGATGGTGTTCGGGGAAAAAACTGTTCTTGTGTCTAGTTGTTCTGGTGTGCAGGGCTCCATAGAGTCGTTTTGAGGGTAGGAGTTGAAGCAGTTTAGGTCCTGGGTGTGGGGAGTCTGTAGATATTTTCACAGGCTGTATAAAGGTCCTCGGTGGAAGGCAGGTTGGTAGTGATTGTTTTTTTCTGCAGTCCTAATTATCCTCTGGAGCCTGGGCCTGTCCTGCTGGGTTGCAGAACCAAACCAGACAGTTCTAGAGGTGCAGATGACAGGCTCCATCATTCCTCTGTAGAACTGGGCCAGCACCTCCTTGGGCAGTTTCAGCTTTGTGAATTGGCGCAGAAAGAACATTCTTGGTTGTGCTTTTTTGATGACGTTTTTGATGTTAGGTGTCCACTTTAGGTCATGTGATATAGTAGAACCTAGAAAGTCCGTGGATGTTTCCACAGCCCTCTTTTTGACTCAGGGTGCAGCAGGCACGTCCTCCGTGGAAGGCGGGTTGGTACTAGCCATGGTTTCTTCTGCAGTCCTAATCCCTCTCTGGAGCCTGGGTGAGGCCAGATGAGGAACCCCGCGCTCCCCTTTGGGGACCCTCTTATAGGACGGAGGCCGAGGCTCGCTGGAGGGCGCAGGGGAGGGGAGCCCAGACGCTCCGGGGCCTGAAGGCCGGGGCGCAGGGAGCGCCGTGGCGGGGCCCGGGGGGCCGCTGGCCGCCTTCCCAGATCTCGGGGGAATTGCCCCAGGCGAGGCGGCCCGGCCCCTTCCCCGAAGCCCCCGAGGGCAGCGGGGGAGGCGCACCAGGGAGGGAGGCCCGAGCGACGGCTCGGCGGGGCTGCTTCCCCCACGGGCTGCCTGCCGGCGGGGGCTCTCGACGGAGCCGCCGTCTGGAGCGGCCGGGGGTCTCTTGACTAGAGGACCTGCAAGGCCCCTTCCCAGCCTCTCCTGCATCCCGGGCGACCCCCGCTCAAGCAAGAGACCCCCCCCCCCCCGCCCTCTCCGCGACGGAGGGAGCGGCGCCCGCGGGCCGCCTCTTGGCGCTCAGGGCCAGGGCGCCAAGGGGAAGGCCGGGCGCCCGGGGGTGACGTCACCGGGCACCCGCCTTCTCCTTCCGCCGGAAGCGGAAGCCGCGCGAGGGTCCCGGGCGGCATGGCGGCGGCGGGGGTCCCGTTCCGCCCGCTGAGCGCCGACGACGAGGAGCAGCTGCCGACCGAGCTGGAGTCGCTGTGCATGGCCTGCTACCGCCCGGTGAGGGCGCGGCGCTGGACGGGGCCGGGCGGGGCGGGGCGGCGGGGCCGGGGATCCCGGCCGGGGCTCAGCCTCTCCCTCCCCGCAGGGCGCCACGCGGCTCCTGCTGACCCGCATCCCCTTCTTCCGGGAGGTCATCGTCGGCTCCTTCGCCTGCGGCAGCTGCGGCTGGAGCAACGCGGAGATCCAGTCGGCCGGCCTCATCCAGGCGCGCGGGGTCCGCTACGCGCTGGCCGTCCGCAGCCGGCAGGTGGGCGCGCTGGGGGGCGGGGGCGCTCCGGACACGCCCCGCCCCCCAAAGGAGGGGGAGGGCCGGTCTCGGGCAGCGGACGGGGCAGTCCGGGAGGCGCCTCTTCCCCTCCGGGGGTCCTGAGGGTGGGGCTGCCCGGGGAGAGCGGCGCGCGGCGGGGCCCCTTCCTCAAGAGGAGCCTCTCCTGACCGCCCCCCCCCCTCCTCCGCAGGATCTGGACAGGTCGGTGGTGAAGACGGACTGCGCCACCGCCGGAGTCCCGGAGCTCCACTTCGAAATCCCGGCTTTCTCTCAGAAGGGAGGTGCGCGGAGGCCCTGCTGGGACCTGGGGGGGCGGAGGGGGCGGCGGCATGGGAGAGACCCACTGCGGAGGAGGAGGGGCTCCTTCTGAGAGGGGCGGGGGGGGGCTGCATGGGGATGTCTGTAACTGGGGGCTGAGGAGGGGAGCAAAGGCTCCTTTGCAAGCTGGGCTCCCTTCTGGGCGGAGCTCCTGCCACCTGCGGTTATTTTCCCAGGCTGATTGGAATTGGGGCACAAGGGGAGACAAGGACGTGGGGTTGGGCAAGGGCGAGAATGCCTGCTGTGCCAGTTGCCATCTTTTGTGGGGTAGAAGCTGCAGCCTCCTTTCCGATCACTGGCTTCGCTGAGAGGATCTGGTTGTTCGCAGGATGCCATATTGTTAGTTTGGGGAGGTTTTCTTTCATAGTAAGCACAATTATTTTCCTTGTCTGGGTGGAAGAAGTTTGTGATGCATGGAGTAATTGGGGCTGTGTTTCCCCGCTTTCCCTCCCATCAGTTCTTACAACTCTGGAAGGGATCCTGGACAGAGCAATAGCAGGACTGGAGCAGGATCAGCCTGACCGAAGAGTAAGCTACTGGAAGGAATCTGGGAAAAGAGGGGGGCACTTTCCTCACATGGGGCAACATTCTAGCATTGGCATTTGGCACCTTTAATTGCAGGTGGGCTTCCTGCCTCCTGGGCAAAAAACCAAACTAACGCCAGTGGCTGTCTAGAACAGGGGTCCCCAACCTCTGGTCCATGGACCGGCACCCGTCCGTGGCATGCCAGAAACTGAGCCGTGCCAACAAGCTAAGCCCTCTCCACAGAATGCAGGCAGCACACACAACCAGGCCCCCTCCGGTCCGTGGGAAAACCTCTATCCACGGAATGGGCCCTGGTGCCCAAAAGGTTGGGGGCCGCTGTTCCAGGCCATCCTGTTCGTAGGTCAATTATTGGGGTTTGAAGGGCCCCTCAGGAAGTGAAACCGGGGAGGATGGCCGTCTGCAATTCTGGCAGCTCCACCTGGGAGGAATTGCAAAGAGCTCTGCGGCAGCCTTAAATGTTTCACAGTGAAAGTGCTTGTGGGCCTGGGCCGGCTGGGTCTTCCTTTGGTGGGGACAGCATGCAGTCGCTTGGTCCAGAAGATGAACTAAGGCAGCCCTGGTGGTTTTGACTGGTGGCTTAAGGTTCTTGCTGCCGAATTGCCTTTCTGGAGGGACAGTCCCAGCTCAGAGCCTAGAAGGGAGGCTGTCCTGTGTCCCTCACTTCCACTGGGGAAGCAAGTCAGGTCTTTCTGCTTTTTTGGGCCATAGAAAGTAGACGCTGACGTGGCAGGAAAGATCGACGAATTCATCTCTAAGTTGAAAGGCCTGAAAGAAGTGGAGTCGGCTTTCACTTTTGTAAGTTATCTTGGGGTGCTGAGAGGAGCTTCTGCCTGCAGGCATTGTTAATCCCGGCAAAAGGGTGATTTTGGTGCCCCCTCCTTCCCCCTCCAGATTCTTGACGATCCTTCGGGAAACAGCTTTGTGGAGAACCCTTGTGCCCCGCAGAAGGACGACGCCCTAGAGGTCACCCATTACAGGAGGACAACCCAGCAAGCAGCTCTGCTTGGATTAGAGGTAGCAGGGAGGGCTTGGAAAGGCCTTGCATGTGAGCTCAGTTGCAAGCCCTCAGGGTCTGCATGCCAAAAGCTTATGGACCCCCCTGTTTTGTCCCCCCCTCTCCCCAGGAAGAGGAGGAGGAGGAGGACCCAGCCGACTCTGCAGAGGACCTGAGGAACGAGGTGAGTGGGCGGTGAAGGGGCTGGCAGTTGGGTGGCTGAGATCCCCTTTGGACCAATCAGGGTGGCTTCTCTTCTACCAGGTACTGCAGTTCAGCACCAACTGTCCTGAGTGCAATGCTCCGGCCAGCACAAACATGAAGCTGGTGCGTATCCTTTGGAGCCTGCGGCGGGCACTGCTCGCCTGCCCTGCTCCTGTGACGGGGGCCCCACTGGGCAGGGCCCTGGCTCCTGGAGGGCAGAAGGAGCTGGCGGGGCTCCTCCAGGGCAATGCGTGGGGCGTGGAGCAAGCGGGCTGAGCATCGGGTGAGGCTGAGGGGCCTGCATGGCGGAGTTTCCCTTTACTGCTTCTCCCCAGAGATTCCCCACTTCAAGGAAGTCATTATCATGGCTACAACCTGCGAGGCCTGTGGGCACAGGACAAACGAGGTTGGTCTTTCCGTCCTGGAAGGCGGCTCCTGAGAGGCTCCGCCCGCCTTGCTGCTTGACACCCTCCCCTTCTTTGCCGCAGGTGAAATCCGGGGGAGGCATCGAGCCTTTGGGTACCAAGATGACTCTCCACGTGACGGGCCCTGCAGACATGACAAGGGACGTTCTGAAGGTGACTCCCTTTCCCTCCCGGCCCTTTCTCTAACGGCCACAGCAAGCCTCCTTCTCCCAGAAACGAACGGCGCTCTCTTTGTTTGCAGTCAGAAACCTGCGGGATAGAGATTCCAGAGCTGGAGTTCGAGTTAGGAATGGGAGCTCTGGGGGGAAAATTCACCACTCTAGAAGGGTTGCTGAAGGACATCCAGGCTCTGGTGAGTGGACTTGAGTGATGAAACAGGAGGCCTGTCCCGTAGGGCCACATTCCTTCCACTGAAGGACCTGCAGTTCAGCCGACCCAGTAGAGGGAGCGTGAAGGCCTTGGGCAGAGCCGCTCCTGCCTTTTGACTTGGGGCATCGGGGGGGCGGGGGGGGGGTTGCTGCTGGTCAGAGAGGGGAGGCCTTTGGGTGGTCTGGGAGAGTGGGACTTCAAGGCGGTTCTCCGGCAGGTGGAGAAGAACCCTTTCGGCCTGGGGGACAGCTCTTGCCCCGACAGAGCAGAGAAACGGCGTGCGTTTGGGAGGAAGCTGCAGCAGGTAGCCTCGCCTTTGCGTCCCGCCCAGGCTGCCAGGGTCAGCCCCCCTGCTGCAGGGCCATTGCGGGAGGGAGGGTGAGCCTTGCATTTCGCGGGTGAGGTTTTCTGTGGTCAGACAGAGAGCTTTGCCTTTCCTTTTTCTTCCAGATTGTAGATGGGCAGATGAAGGCGCATCTTGTTCTGGACGATCCTGCAGGAAACAGTTACCTTCAGGTAAGGCAAATCGGTGCAAATATCATGGGAGGAAGAGGGAAAGGGCCAGCAGGTTTTAAAAGAGGTGTTGGGTGTTTGGTTTGAAAGTGCAACGACTTCCTGTTTCCTGGAATGGCTCAGTGAAGGGCAGCCATAACCAGGTTTATACCTGGCCTTGGGGCTTCCAAGCACCTTCTGTTATGGAATGTCCCTCTGGGCAAGGATGTCTCCCCCTCTCTGGTGAAATTGTTTGGCCTTCATTGTGGAAATGTTGGGTAGTGGCATTCTTCTGGCCTTGTTTGGGCACTTTGGCCAGTGTTGGGTTGCGGAAGGCTGACCTTGGTATTTCCAGGGAAGATGCGTGAAGGGGCTGAAGGACACTTTTCATGTTAACCCGTTGTGCATATTTTTAATAATGGCGGAGATGATTCCTAGCATGTTTGATTTTGGCTTTTTATAAACCCCAATCCTGTTCCTAAAAGGAATCCTACCGGATTTGGGCAAAAAACTGCAGACCCCAGGGATTTATTGCATGCATGCAGCTGCCTCATAGGTCTTGTCTTTGCACTTCCAGAATCTGTATGCTCCTGAAGAAGATCCAGAGTTGTGTGTGGAGCGATACGAGCGGCGGTTTGAACAGAACGAGGAGCTGGGCCTGAATGACATGAAAACGGAAGGCTACGAGGCAGAGGTTTCTTCCCCTCCATAGCCAAGCCGGCATGCTGGGGACTGTGCGGAAAGTAATAATAGACTGTCGGGTTTGAAGCTTTTGTCGACCACTTTTCTTTGGCAAGATTGACTCTGCCTGACTGGCCGGACTCAGCTATTAAAACTGAAGCAGGGACGTTTGTGTCCTTGTCTTGAAGTGGAGCGGAAGGGTTCTGCTGGGGGTCTTGGGTGAAGCGGCGACTTCTGGCTTCCTACCATTTTCCTCTTGAGCCCAGCGGGGCGACCCTTCTTTCTCTCAAGACTTCGCAAGCTGCCCGTGTACTTCTAAGAGCCATGCTGGTAATTGCCTACAATTCCCCTGTAGCCTGCTGGTGCGAGGGATGGATTCAGGGGTTGTAGCAACCGGGAGCCCCACAACACAAGAGGTTGGCAATGTCCTGGCTTGGCCCTGGGCCCTTAACAATGTCAATACTGGAATGATAAAAATCATACCTGACCCAAGGAAAGCAACAGATCAATAAGCGAACCCCGCTCTGGTGCCAATCTCTAATCCTTCAGAACTCAAGGCCCTGGGACAGGTGCGGGGATTTCGCTTGCTTTCTAAGCCCAAGCGAGGTAGTTAGGGCTGGGCAGACCTCCAGCTGGAGAGCATTGTGGGGCTCCCATAGCGAATCATCCTCCAGGTTGCCTTTCCCCAGCCACTGGGAGGATGTGGGGGAACCCCTCGGCTGACGAGCTCATGGCACAGAGGAAAGGAGCGGCTCCATCCAATTTCAAGTCAAGCAACAGGTGTTTGGATCGCTAAAATGCTTCGGACTTCGGGGGCCAACATGGTGGGAGGGCTACTGAGTCTGGGGGCTTTGCGGCAGGTCTGGCTTGCATTTTTTGCTCCCAGTTTAAGAAGGTGAGGGGCTGTTGGTATTGGCCATAAGGATGGGGGTAGCTTCAGAGCAGGGAAATTGGAACTGGACCCTCTGGTTGGAGAGGGGCTAGGAAGCAGGGCCTGGGGAGGAGCAGTCAGAGCTGCTTCTCGGGGTCGGCCGGCACTTTGAGAGGCAGACTGAGCTCTGTTGCAGGGGAATATTGCCAACTTACTGGCAGCAACGGGCATAATTAAGCCTGCCCACCACTCTGGGCAACTATAAATACTATGCTATATAAATATATACTATATAAATATAGTATATAAAATCATACATTGCAATGTCCTACCTGCAAATGAATATTTCAGCTTCAATCATAACAATACAAGAGCGCACAATAGATCCAAACTCAAGGTTAACTGTGCCAGACTTGATAGCAGGAAATACGACTTCAGCCGCAGAGTGGTCAATGTCTGGAATACTCTGTCTGACTCTGTGGTTTCTTCCCCAAACCCCCAAAACTTTAACCTTAGACTGACCTCACCCCTTTCCTAAGAGGTCTGTAGGGGGCCTGCATAAGCGCACCAATGTGCCTACCGTCCCTGTCCTATTGTTCCTTTTTATTTTTCTTATAAGTATCTATCTCGTGTATTCAAAACTATATTTATTCTAATACCTGTATCTTGTAAGCGATTGACAAATCAAATAAATACTAAAATAGTAAACTCGCAACAATCGAAGAAATTATAAAACGAACGAGCTTCCAGGATGCGGAGTGGCCGCTGGCCGCCACGGGCGCCGCCAGGGGGCGACACTGTGACGCAGAGACGACCATAGAGAGGAGCCTGAGGCTCCGGCTCGACGGCTGCCTGGCTTCCGCTTCCTTTGCCCCAGAGAAGATGGCGGCGGCCTCCAGCCTCTCGAAGGCCGAGTACTTGCGCCGGCGCTACCTGGAGGGCAGCGATGCCGAGGCGGGCAAGAAGCGGCGGCGGAAGAAGAGGGCGGCGGCGGCGGGGGGGCGGTGAGTGAATTCGGCCTTGCGGGCATCCGGTCTTCCTGGGCGTCCCTCGAGGCGGGCGGGGGCCCGGGCCCGGGATCCCGGTGGGCGAGGAGCCCGGAGGGTCGGTCTCCCTGCGCAGCCCCGGCAGACGGGCCGCTTGGCCGCCTCCCTGAAGGGCAGCTGGGTCGGGCTTGGAGGGCGCCCCCGGCGGGAGCTCCCCGTGCGCAGGTCGGCCGCCCTGCGGGCCTCCCTCGGAGCGTGGCGCGTCGGGGAGCGAGGCTGAGCCGGTGTCGAAGGGGCTCCTTTTCCCGCCCGCAGGATGCGCATCGTGGACGACGACGACGTGAGCTGGAAGAGCAGGCCCGCCGAGGAGCCGGAGGAGGAGGAGGAGGCAGACGAGAGCGACCTGCCCGTGGTGAGTAGCGGGGCGGCCGGAGCCTCGCCTGACTTTTCCTTGCTGGTGGCCCGCAGCGCGGAGGGTTCCGAGGCCTTTTCCGTGGTCGAATGCCAAAGCAAAGCGACCAGTCAAGGCAGGAGCCAAGGAGCGGAAACGGTTTGACTGGTTGCCAGATCCAGTCCGTCTCGGGCTTCGGGACCAGAGATTTTGCCTTCCGAGCTGGAGCCGATCCTTGGGGAATTGTTGGACTGGTTGTCTGGTAGGAGGATTTTTAGCCGTGCAGGAAAAAAACAAAACCAAACCCGTCTTATCTGTTGTTTCTAGGTGGCTGAATTTATCGATGAACGGCCAGATGAGGTTAAGTGGATGGAAACTTTCCGAGCAAGTAATAAATGGAAGTTACTAGGAGGTTAGCAGTTTGGAGCTTCTCTGAGAGAAGGGTTTTTCCTTGTGCTGGATTTACTGCATGTATCCTCTCCCTAAGCCAGACTCTCTGCTCAGGTAGTGCTGGCTGAAAAGGCACTTAAAGTTGTGGAACAGAGCGATAAACACGGCTGAATGTTTAGTTCTTTTACATCTGAAGAAAGGAAATTATGTGCTTGTAGAATTAATTCGCCGTGCCTAGCCTTGTATGAGGAATTTGGCACAATGTCTTGTTTGCTTCTCTAATAAGATGCTGTTTGTTGAAAATAGGATTTTTTCTCTGTAGGAAATTTAGAAGACCCAAAAGTGGGAAAGTAGATATTGTCTAAGTTCTACATTTTACTTTCCTTTGAAAAAAAAAACCATTAAAAATGAAATGTCTTTTCATCCTGGAAATCCGCTTTCTTCAGAAACAAATTTGGCGCCCTCCAGATCTCCAGGGCTTTCCTTGCTTTTTAGGAATTCGACAAGTTGTAATTTCTATATTTTGGGAAACAGCCATATGGAGAGAGAGATTTGTGGATGTTAGGGATGCATTGTGTATTAAGAAGGCTTTATGTTTTCTTTTTTTAAAGACCAGGATGAAGAGCCACAGTTATTTGGATGTTCTGCGACAACCACATCTACAAGCAGGTGAGATGTAGGAATGTTAATTCTGGCTATATTGCTTGTAATTAATCAAGGAGAATATTTGTAGCTCGGGGTTGACATGATTTTATTTCTTGGAGAGTTTTACAATATTTTGGAGTAAACCTTTACCGCATTAATTGCATTGATCGCTGATTGGAGACTTTTTCATTTTGTGCAGAAGCAGTTACTTCAGACAGCTTGTGGGTGGAATAAATGGGAGCAGCACTTTTTTAAGTACACAACTGCTGAATTTCCACACTATCCCAATCGGTTGATTCAGTGAAGTTTCCAAAACAAAAATCCACTGGGAAGGAGCTTTCTTTTTCCAGTGCTTTATTTAATTTATTTTAAATTCATTTAATTGTATTATTTGTACTTGTTTTCAGGTTTTCTTTGGAAGGTATTCAGTAGGAGATGCCAAGTAACATTCATCAGTAGTTGGACTGTCTTCTATTAAGAATTTGGATCTCTGCACTGGGCATGTTTTGAGTTCTCAGAACTCAGTGGCCCTGTCTACTTTTAATTTTGTGGTTCTTGGGATTTTGGCTTAGGATGAAAAATTTGTGTTGCTTGATGTTATACGCTACTGCCAGAGTGCTGAATAAGCCAGAGAATTCTTGAATCAGAAGAGTTTTCCCCCAAGGTTCTTGTTCAGTACCTGGGCAAGGACCAAAAATAAATAAAGCTTATCTTGCAACACAATGCTAATTGAAAGTCGGTATATTTGTTTGAAGCTTAGATTGTTGCTTCTGTTGTCTTACTCAGTTCAGAATCCTCCAGAACAAACCAAAAAAAGCATTTGTTGGACCAGTCCCCACCTAGGAGGAACCGTCATGCCCAGCCTGATCTGTCCCCTAAAAGGGAGCCTTCAGCAGGAGGCACAAACCATGTCAAAGGCTCGAGTGGAAGCCAACGTGAATTGTTCTCAGGCAAACGCTCAGCCGGCCAGAAGTATAAGGCGGCTGCGGAGGCTCCTGTGTCTCTGCCTTTCAAGAAAGCCTCTCGTGCTGAGGGAGACTTGCTGCCACCCAGAAGTGAGTAGCCCTGTGCTAAAGTACCTCCCCTAGTTTGGGGTGTGAGTTGTCCAAACCCCTCAGGGATACCTTGGCAACTATCAGCCGTCCTTGGTGATGCATTCTGAAAACGCCTCTTTTTCTTCATGGATTTTTCAGGCAACCTGCAGCCCCAGCCAACAGCAGCATCAGCAAGGAAGCGGCAGAGACACGATTCGGAATGCAGTTCTGGGTCTTCTCCGACGAGGAGGAGGGCTCAGGCCACCTCAGATTCGGACCTTTCGCCACCACGGGCCACTGGCCAGCCAGGCACACGGCGACCAAATTCTCCTTCTGATCTCTCCCCCCCCAGAAGGAATCGGCACAAATCTTCTGATTCGGACTTATCTCCTCCTCGAAGAGGAGCAGGCCGCAAGTCCAGGAGCCCCTCTAGGGTCCTGCCGCGTCATCAGGCCATGGAGTCCAACGGGAGCAGCCAGAGGGTGAGGCTTTGGCTTCCAGCGAGGACCTGAGATGTGCTGTGGTGCCCCGTTGCGGGGAGAAAGCCTTGCTCCAGCTGAGGCTGCCAGGAGGTTGTGCCATGAATGATTTATGGGACATGCCTCTCACGCTGATTCCACCTTGTGTGTTCCTCAGATGCTGTCGGGGGGCAAAGCTGGCTTGGTATCAGCTGATCTGTTGAGAAGAGAGCAGCAGGAACGTAAGAAGGCTGGCAGGAGCAACAATAGCAAACATCTGGAGGGTGAGAATTTCTACAAAACCCTGAAATGGCACGGTGCATCCATAGCGGGGGCTTCTGCCCAGCCCTTTCCCCGTCAGAACCTGGTCCAGGGGGCCAGTTGGTTGGAC